GTGACCTTCACCTCCACCGTACATCGAGCAAACCTGCGAGCCAGCATATTCGCCCTCACCGACAGTGCCCTGCGCTCGCGTTCATATCCATATTGTCCTTGAGGTCGTCGGCAATATAGTGTCCTAAATATTTGAAATGAGCTACTCTCTTCAATGGAATTCCATTGAGACTTATGGGAAGCACATTGTTAGTACTCTTCTTACCGGCGACCCGAAAGACCATATACTCAGTCTTACATACTCCATCTATATATTTAAATGGAAACTTACTATTTTTGACGATAATAAACTCTTTTAATGCTGTAATCTGATAAAACTTGGAACAATTCACATTTTGCAACGTATATTTTCGCTGAATTTCGTTGTATACAACAAATATTTAAATAAATAATTTTGTGACACTGGTAACTCAATCACGATCAAAATACATTTTGATCGTGATTGAGTTTTGTCGACCGCCATTTTGTCGAACCATAGAGGTAGATGTTATTCCGTAGCGTGTTTATTAAGTTAATGGGTTGTTGTAAAAGTTTCGGTTTATTGTCATATTTTGCAACAGATACTTAAACAACAGATACAAAAACAGATAATTAAAATTCTTGAAATAGAAGGTTTAGCACTTCTGCATTCAAACTTTGACAATGACATTTACAGACATTTCTAAGGTTAATAATAACTAAAAATCCTGTTTTTACAAAGAAAAATGCGAACGGATAAAAAGTTAATTCATTCTAATAGGTAAACATGTTTGACTCATATATACGAGTATATACACGTACACTTATATAGGTATTCTTTCAGAACGTTTTAATTTTTTTATTTTTCTTTTGTTTCTCTTATGATTATCAAATAGCGGGTTTGCTTGTGGTGATAAGCAACATGCACTGCCATGACTGTGACAGCGCCTCTTAGTAAGACTAGCAAGACAGGGCGCGACTAGCGCGAGAGTGACATAAAGCGCGATATACTGCTTTTCTCGCATAGAGACTTCGCGCATTATGTCGCTCTTGCACCAGCCGCACCCTGTCGTGCTAGCCTTACAGATCTCTAAATTTCAAAAATCTGAGGGGCACACCGCTGCGCTCGTCACCCTGAAACATAAAGATGACAATTCCTATGTGGCTCTAGACTCACCCGCACTCTTACACTTCAAAACCGGAACGCAGTAATGCTCACATTATTGCTTGGCAGGAGAAATAGGTACCATGCTGGACTGCCATGCAGAGTTTCAGGTTCGATTCCCGGGCCGAGAGATATATTTCTATGCCATACATTTATTTATTTCGTGAGTTTGTGCTTGTCTATGTGTGTCCATAGACAAGCACAGCACTAGGGAAACCCTGTGTACGTTATTGTTATTATTATTATTGTTGTATTGCAATTTTTTTGTATATAGATGTATGTTTTTCATAATGAAACGTAACCTTCCATACTTAAAAGTATACATTCGAACTGTCTAGATACAGCATTTAAAAAGCAATTTTTCAGTTTCCATTTTCGTACCCACATTTTCGGCTTAAGCCAAAGTCCAAACATTCTAAACTATCTAATGCAAAGTACGTCTGCAAATTTATTAAATTTCGTACCCAAAGTCTTGGTTCAAAATTGCATTTTCCCATCCCTTCCGCGCGACTGAGCGCAATGTCGATATTAAATTTTAATATTTAGAATATTTTAATAAAACCCTGCATTGTATAATGCTTTACTATTTCTACCACACCAACCTTTACTTTTACTTAAGTACATTGAAGAATAAACAAGATTTAGTAATAATGGCTACGCTTCAAAAGTTTACACGCTACAAAATAATATACCAAAAGACGTGCTGTATTACGAGTACATCGGAAAGGTAAGTTTAAAAACAAAATAACCAAAAACTAAATTAATTATATATGAAATGAAACTATTTTTAACCTACTTGAAAAAAGGAGGAGGTCTCAATTCAACTGCTTTTCTATTTTTTTTATGTACACACGCCAGCACATCAAGCTACACATTGACGTATCTTTTTCCGTTGCACTGGAGGCGATTTTCGAACAAAAATGTGTAGTCTGATGTACCGTTTCGACGATTTTTGTTTTGTTGAAAAGACGATACCTCAATATTGGCCCCATTTAAATTTGAAAAAAATATTCAACCTCTAAAGGTAGCAAACTAGGGGATGAATCCGGTTTCCGATTCCGGTAACCGATTTCAATAACACTTGGCAAATACTCGTAGCTGTAAATCCACGAACTTTTCAGGTCGGTTTTTTTTAATAAATCTGTTATAATTATTTGGATCTAAATTGCGTATATTTGTTATTTTAAAAACAAACCAACTTTTCGAGCACTTTTGGTAAATCCGTGAGACACGAGTGAAACAGCCGGGGATTACTTATGCACTGGTTTATTTCCACGCTCGTATTGGTGGTGTCGCAGCACGCACCTAGTTACCTACATACTATCCCTCCACCCTTATTATTAAGTTACACAATACAAAGTTCCATCTTAATAAATATAATAAATCTAAAAAAACTTTTTATAGTCCACTCTCGGAATATTACGCAACAATATGTTGGATAGCCCAGCATTACGACTGGGCATGGAGGCTGCCTGCTGAGTCTCTGAACTTCCGGATGGTACTTCCGGTTGCACCGGACTTAAGACAGTTGACGACAAGTCTGTTTGCTCATCGTTATTTGGTACAGTCTCTTCCTCATTATTACTCATAGCGGTACTATCGCTGTTCGACGGTGGAGCAATACTGTCAAAGTCGTAATGACGACTTGTGTCGCTTTCGGCATTACTCCTACTGGAAGATACTATTTGATTTTTGTGACGTACAATTTCTTTTTTTGTTATTAAATCCCTTATCACGAACATAATGTTCCCTACTGGCTTGATAATTATGCCTTGTGTCCATTTAAATTTGTTTTTGTTCGTGTAATTTTTATACATAATTACTTGACCACAACTAAAGTTTTTCCTTGTGGTGCCGCCGTGGTAATTAGCCTGAAAGCACTGTTTTTTTCGAACTATGTGAGATACATCGGTGTGCGGGGCCGAGGGCGTTGGCTTTAACATATCCAATCTAGATCTAAGTTTTCTACCGTAAACTAGCATCGCTGGAGATTGACAAGTGGTTGTGTGCACAGAGTTTCGATAATCAAATAAGTATTTTAGCAAATTATTATGTCTATCCTCGTTATTTTTCCCTGTAATTAACGCACTTTTAATCCCCTTTTTTGCAATTTTAACGTACGTTTCCGCCTGCCCATTGCTGGCGGGATGGTATATAGGTGTGGTTTTGTGCGAAATTCCGTTCAAAGCGCAAAACTTTGAAAAATTTTCAGATGTAAATGACGTGCCGTTGTCGGTGACAATAGTGTGAGGTATTCCAAAACGTGACATATACTCATATAATTTATTAATAACAGCTGTTGTCGTAATGTTATTTTTCATATTGATACATTCTACCCATTTTGAATGTGCATCAACAATCACTAAATACATTTGATTTTCAATTGGGCCTAAAAAATCCATATGAATCCTATAAAATGGTTCTTTAGGATATGGCCACGGAATCAGTTTAGAACGTGGCGGGGAAATGCGCAAGTCCACACTGCAGGTGGGGCAATTTTTTATTAAATTCTCGATCGCTTGATCAACGCCAGGAAACCAAAATTTCGACCTTGCTTCACATTTGGCTTTAACAATTCCCAGATGCGAATTATGCAATTCGGCTAACACTTTATTTTGTAAAACTTTTGGAATAATTACTTTATGCCCTCGCATCAGTATGCCATTTTCTAAAGATAGGTGAAATCTACAAAGAAAATAAGGTTTCAATGTTTTATCATTCAATTTAGGTGGCCACCCTTCTCGTACAAGATGCATAACTTTACGAAGCGTTGCGTCATTCTCAGTTTCGCGGCGCAACCGGTCCAGAGTGACGGGTAACGTCCCCTCTGTGACGAAATTAACGTAAACAGCAGTGTCAAGCGCTGTGGCCGCGGAGCATCTGCGGCCGCGCGCTGAGCCTGCACTAGCTGCAATTCGTGCGTCACCGTTTGTCCCTGCGCCTCGCGACCCCTCCCCCGTTTCAACCGGTTCTGGGAGTGTCGCTCGTGATAGATAATCAGCACAATTATCACTGCTACGGACATATTCTATTACATAATTATAACTTGAAAGAAATAGTGCATATCTTTGTAAGCGATTTGCAGACACCTCTGGTATACCCCGGTGGGGTCCGAAGATGGACACCAGAGGCTTGTGATCGGTTCTCAAAGTGAATGGCTGAGACCTAGCATACAAATACTGATGAAATCTTTTTATGCCAAATATAATCGCCGTTGCTTCTTTTTGTATTTGTGAATATTTTTTTTCAGGCGAAGTTAGTGTTCTAGAAGCAAATGAGATAGGTCTTTCCAACCCATCGGACCCCACTTGGGACAAAATTGCCCCTAAGCCATTTGGAGAGGCATCGACTGTTAATATAATTTTAGCATTAATATCAAAATGAGTCAACACTTTATCGGACGCCAAAATATTTTTAATTTTACAAAAAGCCTCTTCATGGTCAGTAGTCCATGACCACTTAGTACTTTTCTTCAAAAGATCGTATAATGGCGCGAGAATGTTAGCCGCGTTCGGTACGAAACTACGATAATAATTAATTAAACCTAAAAACGACTGTAATTGACTCAAGTTTTTCGGTCTTGGAGCCTCAACTATAGCTTTTACTTTGTCCGATGATTTCCTAATACCATTCCTATCAATAACGTAGCCTAGATATGTAATTTCATTTTTGAAAAACTCGCACTTTTCCTTACGTAACGTTAACCCAGCATCCAGTAGAATTTGTAACACTTTTTTCAACTTCTCCAAGTGTTCAATTCTATTCCTCCCAGATATTAAAATGTCGTCTAGGAAACATAGCACTCCTTCCAACCCTAAAATACTCTCCATTGCCCTTTGAAAAATGGCTGGCGCCGAGGATAAGCCAAACACTAATCTTTTAAATTTAAATAAGCCTTTATGAGTATTAATGCAAGTGATATTTTCATCATCAATTATTTGCAACTGATTATAAGCAGACGACATGTCGAGCTTAGAAAATTGTACCCCCCCGTGTAACCTTGTAAATAATTCCTGGACGGTTGGTAAGGGGTATTTTTCGAGTACCAACTGTTTATTAATACTTTGCGAGTAATCGGCACAGATTCGAACTGAGCCGTCATGTTTTAATACAGGCACAATTGGTGACGCGAATTCAGAACATTCCACCGGTTCGATGACGCCAATGTTACATAATCTATCTAATTCCTGTTCGATTTTTTCTCTAAGTGCAAAAGCAACAGGTCGTGCTTTGAAGAAAACGGGTCTTGCGCCCTCTTTCAATGACAATTTTATTTTGTATTTATTAAAGCAACCTAATTGATCTGAAAATACCTTGGCGTGTTGTTTAAGAAGTGACTGCAACTCATAATCATCAGAAGGTACATGATTACAAAAATGAACAGGAGTTAGTTCCAAGTTAAACACGGAAATAAAATCTCGCCCGAGTAGTGGTGGTCCGCCATTATCAATTACATACACATCGAGAATTTTGGTTTCACCTGAGTACGTCACTGGCAATCGTGCAATGCCTAAACTGTTTATTATATTGCCGGTATAACTAATTAATTTTCTTTTTTACATGGCAATAGCGAAACGGCACTGAAATGTAATTTATATGTTTTATTTGATATCGCCGTAACTGTGGAACCACTGTCAATCTCAAATTTTAGGTTAATTCCGTTAATAGACACTATTTGTGTCATAGGCGCCCCGGCATGTGAACGAATATTGAATAACTCACCATCGTCCTCACCCTCGCTCACTTCACGTGATTCAACATAGTTTACGCGTTTACACATTTTGCGGAGGTGACCTTTAACTTGACACTTATTGCACTTGTAATTTACGAACCGACACTCATTTGACTTATGATTTTTCCTACCACACACTTTACACTGCACATTTTCTATTGAATTTCCGTTACTGGGTTTGCGTTTGTTTTCAATTTTGAAAACTGGTTCCAACGTGGTCCCCGCTGACGAGTTAGCCGCCGCGGCGCGTGCGCAACGCACGCTCTCCGCCAGATCCACTGCCTTTACCAATGACAGTTCAGCGATCCCTGTGGCGAAAAGCTTTTCCCGTTCCGGACCAGGACCCATTCCTATAACGAATTTATCTAGCAACACATCTTCCAGATTTTTGAAAGAGCAGTGCGCCGCTAAACCTCGTAAGCGTGCTGCCCATTGCGCTGGCGTTTCTCCAGCCCGTTGCACTGCCATGTAAAAATGGTGTCGTTCAGCGAATCCACATCTCTTCGGTGTAAAATGGCTATCTAACGCCACCAAAATCCTTTTATATGAAACCGCATCCACTGAATCTGGTAACAATAAGTTGCTTGCAAGTTGATAGGAGCTCTCTGAGAGTGCACTAAGTAAGATGGCGCGTCTTTTCACTCCTTCTTTGTCGGACGAATCATTAATTTCATTTGCTATGAACCACTGCAGCAGTCTACTTTTGTATGTGATCCAGTCTTGCTGTTCATGGTTAAAATTCGAAAGAATTCCAAAGGTCGCCGACATTTTTTTTTTTTATACGCGGGTAGCCAGTCGTCGCCACTGGTAAATCCGTGAGACACGAGTGAAACAGCCGGGGATTACTTATGCACTGGTTTATTTCCACGCTCGTATTGGTGGTGTCGCAGCACGCACCTAGTTACCTACATACTAACTTTATATGTTAAATTAAAAATAAGGGATTTAAATTATGCACTGAGGTGCAATAAAGGAGCCTCCACAAACGACGTAGCATTCTTTTTCTGTACATCTGGCGCACTCATAGCAATCGGCGAGTAGGTTTAGGCACTAATTGGCTTTCACCACGATGGCAAGCATTATAGTATATGCCATCAATACGATATTACCATCATCATAATATCAGCCGGAAGTAGTCCACTGCTAAACAGAGGTCTTCCCCAAAGATTTCCAGACTAGCCGATCGGAAGCGACGTGCGTCCATCGGTTACCCGCAGCCCTTACCAGGTCATCTGTCAATTTAGCAGGTGGCCGTCCCACTGAACACCTTCCGGTTCGTGATCTCCATTCTATAACCTTTCTGCCCCAACGGCCGTCAGTTCTACGAACTATGTGCCTTGCGCACTGCCACTTCAACTTGCTAATTCTTTGAGCAAGTTCGTTCTTGTACGAATCTCCTCATTTCTCATTCGATCACATATAGAAATGACGAGCATTGGTCGCTCCATAGCTCAACGAGTGACTTTAAGCTTTTTTTTATGAGGGCCATAGAAAGTGACCACGTCTCAGAGCCGTAGATCATCGCTGGCAACACACACTGCTCGAAAACTTTTGTCTTCAAGGACTGCGGTATTGCGGACGAGAAGACATCCTGGAGCTTCCCGAAAGCTGCCCAACAGAGTAGCTCAATGGTCAATAGAGCACGGCATGCTGGGTATTTCCATCGTCGACAGTATACCCAACGTGGAGATACGGCAGCGTACTAAAGTCGTAGATGTCGGTATGCGAATCGCGAGCCTAAAACAGAGATGGGCAGGACACGTTGCTACGCGGGACTACGACCGATGGACAAAGGCAAGTTACTGAGTGATACCCACTAGGAGTGAGACGTCCTCCAGGGAAACCACCTGCAAGATGGACGATATCGTCGGAGTAACCGGAAGAATGTGGATGAATGAAAAAAAGAAAAAAAACTGTTTATTTCACAAGCACAGATACGCATATAAACAAAATAACAGAGGAACAATTATAGAAATTAAAAAAATTATATTAAAACTATTGATATGATTATGCAGTATCTAATTCACCGTCTTGCGTCTCGCAGCTGATGCAAGCGGGACTTGCTTAGCTTTAGCAACAAACGGTTTATTTTTAAACCGTTTCGTAGCGCTGACTTCCAGCAATCCAGGGGCGAGCCACTGACAACAATTAAGAAATGGATGAGACTCGCACGGGACCGGTTAAGTTTACTTACCCGCCAAGCAGTAATGTCAGCATTACTGTGTTTCGGCTTGAAGGGTGCTGGTGAAATTACAGGCACATGAGACTTATCAACTTACGTCTCAGGGTGACGGGCGCAGTGGCAGTGCCCCTCAGATCTTTGCGATTTAAAGCTCCGAGTGGCACTACAATTAGTTATGGACAAGCGTGTAGCTTACATCAGGCGCACGACTTTATCGTCCCATCACTTGAAATTATAAAAAAAAAGAAAGTTGGCGTGTAAAAGAGGAGACCTATAACGAACAGTCAGCCGTGACCAAGGAACCAGTATAGAGCCCCAAACATTAGATTGTTTGAGAAAACAAATACAAGCCGCGATTTAGATCCGTTAAACAAGCAATCGCCAAAACATAAAAATTGTCTGTAGTGAATAGTAAAATGTCCAGAAAATTGTCAATAAATGTTCCCTACACAGGATAAACAAAATGAGCGTACTCACTCCCCAATTCCCGATCGGAAAACGGGAGAAATCCAATAAGCTGTCACTACGCCACGTGTACTAAAAAAATACTAGATTTTAAAAAACAATATTTTTGTTTCAATAAAATTGAAATATAAATGGTGTTCGTATTAATACGAAAACTCGTTCATCACAAAAATTCTCGCGCCCGGAACGTACCCGCGGCCGCTTCTGTAAGGCCAGAGCTTTACTGTGTGCTACACGGTAGATTATATTTAAATTACATTAGGTACTTAATTATTAAGTACGTCTTATGTTCGAGAAAAATAGAGCTGAACTGAATTATACTTATGTATATATTTACAATACTTCCAAAAACAAGGTAAATCGTCTTTGTTTTAAATTTGTGAATTTAATAAAGAAAAAACCGGCCGAGGTTAATACCTACCCCGCAGGGTTTTAAGAAAAAGGAAAACCATGTCTTATACGCACAAATAATGCTTGCGTAGGAAGACATTATATCATATAAGAATTATTGTCTATCAATTTATAGAATAAAAACAAGGTTTACTTTGTTAAATATTACTCTTACTTTACAAAATAGAAAATATAACAAAAATAGTCTATTTGGAAAACGGTTGCTTGTACGAATTATGACATTACTTTCTAAACCCATCTTTTTATCGTATCGATGGTTCTTTTATTTTAAGATTACATTAACTTTGAATAGGGATACTGGCACATGGGACTTTTCAACTTATGCCTTATGCATAGTGTGTCTCAGGGTAACGGGCGCAGTGGCAGTGTCCCTCAGAACTTTGACATTTGAAGCTCTGAGCGGTACTGCAACTGTCGCTTGCCACTGGGCACACTACCTGTTCGTCCCAGCACTTGCTAACATTAAAAAGTATGTTGCAAGCTTGACTGTATTATACGTGGCCACGTACAAATCTTCAATCGTACAGGTATTAGGTCACACGGTCAGGGCTCCATCACTCGCTCGAGGTTACGCGATAAGTGCCTGCCGCTGAGTGTATCGCCGACAGTACAATCGCTCAGACAACTCTTTCATTTACATTACAATCCTTGTACAACCCCAGCATTCGGTTTGGCACGACTGCACACGGCGGGCAATATTATTTTCACCTCTCTGTGCGCGTATTTAGGTTTCTTTTTCATCGTAGTGAGCACCTGGTGTCATTAGTCAGATTTAGTAGGCTGTTATAGCGTAAGTATTTTCGATTTTGTATGAGAGTAACCTAAGCTATTAAGTAATCTGTGACACGGGGTACAACAGCAAATTAATTAGTAAATGTTTATTAACAATATATATCTGTGAAGAGGCATTACTACACTGGAGAAATGTGTCAATTCCCCGGTCTGCATTAACCCAGCATAGCGGCCTTTAGCCTAAACTCTTTTATAATACCAGGGGATGGGACTCACAACACCTCGCCTAGTGCTAAGCGGCTATAACGTGTAAACGCTAGCGCAATAACGTAGGTAAGCAAAATACACTTGGTAATCGTCATATATAAGGTAGCAGTACTTCTCTAGACGAACTCTTTCACATGCAGGTCTACTGCTATTAAGTTATTTAACAATAAGATGTAAAATTGCATACGTATCAAACTTAGCACGGACAAAATGACATTTTTAATGTAAAACTGTTACACGTTTAGCCACAAATTTATCTGATGTTAAGAAACGGCACGTTTGTATAAAAATAATACACGTTAGCCCTAGGTTGAAGTTTCCGGGAATCAGAGGTATCTGTAGTGTATTCCATTCCCTAGCCGTATACACTGGGCTTAATGTACATCGCCGCAGAACGGAATAGAAGCAAACATGCCTATTCATAACTGTTGTAGTACCAATCAGTGCTTTAAATTGCAAAGATCTTAGAGGCACTGCCACTGCGCCCATCACTTTGAGACATAAGTTAACAAGTCCCATGTGCCATTTCATCAGGGCCTTTAGAAATTATTTCCTTAAAGAAAGTCCGTGCCAAATACTAACACATTACGATTTGATGATGATAAATCAAATGGATTCTTACTAATTCGTTATCTTAGAGCTAATAACTGTCCATCTTCATAACTATCTGTCTGCCGAATTACTGTCTATGATATCCACAAAAGCTGAATCTCAGACAGTTCTCTTTTCTGCACGATTGACCGCCTACTAATGGACGTATTTAGACGAACGATAAAAAGTTTAATTAAAATAAATGAAATAATCAAAATTGGCTTTGTTTGACATATGCATGCAAAATAAATTAGAAACTTACATTTAGATAATTACGTAAATCCTTCCTAAATAATTATAACAAACTAGTGGAGTAATCACAATAAACAAATAATTAAACATATTATTAAGGTGGTAAACCATCATAGTATTCAATAAAATCATTATACTAATGGTTATCTGAACCACTAGCCACATATATCAAAACATACTTAAAAATAATATGACCGCAATCGTATTATAGATTCAGGGATCTAAATATTCAATTCAAAATTGTACTAACGTACGTAACGTAACATAATCATAATAATTCAATTCTTTATTCAGGCATTACAAAAATTTTGATTACCCATTAACAAAAATATTAATAAACCTTATAGATAACATAGAATAAATTATAAATTATAGGATGAAATAAAATAAAATATAACCAAAAATAAAGTAATACCATAAATGGGTAATTGCCATTTACCTGTGGACAGACATCCTGTATTTAAAAATAGAGCTGTCGAAAGACGTGTCACATACTACTCTCTCCTGAGAGTAGTATGTCACGTGACACGTCTTTCGATAGCTCTTTCAGACTCTTTTCCAAAATGAAGCCACTCTCGCTCGTAACATAGCGTAGGGTGTTCACACACACCCCACTTACGTGACCACCGACATTGGATTTCCTCCCTCAACCCATTGATGTAAAGGCTGAAGAGGTCCGGAGAAGTAAGTAAGTAACATCAGAGTGAAGTCTGTTAGTCTGGAAGATCAAGATCCTCTCTATCTTTTCTTGTAGTTTCTCATCCTATGTAAGAACCAGGCTGTTGTCGGTGTAGCCTCCTCTACTCCTCACAGTTAAGCCCGCTCCTTGACCTCTATATATAGCTGCTCAATTTGACTTTCTTCTTTA